TGGAAATATGAGCTGAATGTACATTTCAATGGTTCTGTAGTTGTACGTTTAAAATTAGTTTACAGCCATTGCACTTTGTTTATTCTATTACGAATGTTCTAATAACTGTATTACCGCAAACCACCTGTTGGTTGCAATATTGTGCTACACAAGGTCACTGAGCTGCTATTAACCTGAGAGCACAGGTAGCAATAGAAATCCACTAACTTTCGGATTATTTTTGCAAACATAAAATAACAGAAACATTCGGCCAGATGGAATGAATTGTAGGCTTTTCTCTACACTAACCTTCATGCTGGAGAAAGGATATAATAATAATAATAATAATAATAATAATTCTTGCCTTGTATTAATTCTTGCATTTGACATAGCATTTTATCATGTTGTTAAAACTTCTCAAAACGCCTCAAGGATTTACTATAAAGTGCACAGTGACTGTATTTGTAGGTTAATTTGTATTTGTAGGATCAATCATAGTTATGAGCTTTCAGCATCGGGGACAGATTAAGAACAAGAAGATGTGTGATTCATTTAAATGTACAAGAACCTGTGATTAATTGACAGAGTAAGTAAGTCTGGTCATACAATTACCTCATATTGTTTAAAGCTATGTGGTAGTTACCCACTCCCAGTGGGTCAGTAGACGACTATACTCGGGGCTTCTCATATGTGAGGTTGCCTGGTACAAATATTTATTTAATTTCCTCTTCACTCTTTTGGTATTCTGGTACCAAGTCATCCATCATAGCAGCTATCCATTTGGGGCTACACGGCAGTTTCCTTATTGAAGTAATTTCATTAAACGTTTTCTTTCAGTATAGAATATGTTAAAATGGGATGAACAAACATGTGCTTCAATGACAGCAAAAACAGTTTGAATTTATATAGTGCCCTTCTGGTGGAGGTATCTGGGAGCACTTTAGAGAGACGTGCCAGACACTGAGTTTGGAGGGTGGAGGAATTTGAGAGGTGAGAGTGCAATGTGCACAGTGTTCCCTTCAAACATGCTTCCAGGTAAAGTTTTGTGTATTTTGTCCACCGGCCAGTATTATTGTTGAGGATATGGTGTTGATATTTTTGTAGTAATCCATTACATTTTTATCTAAATACTAACCCTGGTAATGATTATTTAAAATGTGAACTAACCTTGCTTAGAAATAGTGCCTTTTAATAGTTTATTCATAAAAACAAGCCTCTGCCAAGTGCTTTCAACCACACTTGTTGTATGAGTAAAACAAACAATCAAACAAGGAAAAATGATCTGGTCCATTAAATCTGTTCCTTCCACAAACAATGCATGAAGAGCTCTCGTATGAACTCTCCCTAACCAGTTTAATTTTATTAGGAAAGCCTGAGGAAATATTTTCCATAAAGGTAACTCAAGCAAAGAATCTACATAACTTTACATCCTACAATGAATCACCTGCAAAATGCACAGTCATGACACTTTGCATTTAATCCTGTGAAGCATTTTGAGATGTTTTGATGATATGACGTGGCACTATATCAAATACAAAGATTATTAGTATTACATACATCCAGTACAAATTGACAAAAATTATATTTTTATATTCCCATCCGCTCAGGGTCGGAATATAAACTGTTATGCTCTGCATTGCATTCACTTCTGTATACTAATCCTTATAATCCTCAAACCCTTTCCTGGTTCAATGTAAATGTAAATATAAACCTTTGGTGAATGAGTATGTGTGATTCTCCACTGATTGGCAACTCAACAAAGTGATCTTAGAATGGAAATAATATGTACAGAGAGAGAGAGAGCACGACCAGATGTCAGCCTGATTCAGTTGGTAACACTTTCTCCTCCAAGCTAAAAGGTTGTGGATTGAAATCCCAGATCAGGACTTTGAATTTACAGTCTAGGTTGACACTCCAATACACACTGTGGGTTGTCAGAGGTGCTGTTCTTACGGATAAAACCCTAAATTGAGGTCCCATCTGCCTGTTCAAATGGATATTAAAGATCCAATGATACCACTTGAAGAGAGAAGGGAAGTTACTCCAGGTGTCTTGGACAATAATCCCCCAAATAAAACATAAGAAATTGATCATTCACTTTAGGGCTGCTTGTGGGATATTGTTTTATAATAATAATAATAATAATCATCATCATCCTTTTATTTGTTACAGCATCTTTGAGACGTCTCAAAGCGCTTCACAGAATATACTGTGTATTTTGTGGACGAAACGTGGCAGCCAATTGCACACAGCAGTGTCCCACAAATAGTCGTGGATTGAAGTGACCAATTTATTTATTTTTTTAAGGAATTATTACCCCCGGAAAAGTGATCTGCCAATCGACTAACAATCGGGTTCCTACTTACTGCTAGGTAAAAAGAGGCGTGTGGAGTAAGGAAACTTGGCCAACATTTTGCCCTGCCGGGAATCGAACCCAGGTGTCACGCTTGTGAGGCGAGTGCTCTAACCACAGGACATTTGCACCAATTGACTGCTGTGTTCATTTACAAAATACACAGTCACTACACTTTACAGTAAATCCTGTGAAGTGCTTTGAGACATCCTCCCAATGTAAATAGTGCCATGTCAAACGCAAGAATTGATTAATTAATTATTTAATGCCCGTAATATGGGACTTTCAGCGTAAATATTTACTATGAAATCTTCAATTCAATATTTTTCAATAACAATTGCAGTGAACATTATTTTTGTGCAACTAATATAGTACATAATGATTCACCGGAGGGTTAATTAGAAAAGAACTGATAAATATGCTCAGTTACTGAGGCCTGCAGCGTATTGGTTGTTAGTCAATTGGCAGATCGCTTTTCCGTAGGCAATAATTCCTCCAATTTTTTTTAAAAAATAACAATTTGGTCACTCTATCCACAACTGTTTGTGGGACACTGCTGTGCGCAATTTGCTGCCACGTTTCTCCCACAAAATATACAGTCAATTCACTTTACAGTATATTCTGTGAAGCATTTTGAGATGTCTCAACGATGTGATAAGACTATATATCAAGTACATGATTATTATTATTACTCATACAAGGAGAAATCAAACTCTTTCCTTTATCAATCCTTTATCAATCCAGAAGCTAAGACAATACTCTATTCATTTGCGTAATGAACCTTTTTATTGTAAACTGAGATTCTGATTTTCCTCCTGTTAGGTGCAGTATGCAGTCCTTGCATTAACATTTTACTTCTGCTTCCCCATACATCACAGCAGAGTGTTATCAATATTTCACATATGAACCTTTGATAAATAATTAAGGTTATTGCAATTATTTTCCCAAATAGAAATAGTCAATAAATGAACAGTAGCTATCACTGAGGTATGCAGTTTAAAGGTACTTTGGCCTGACATACCCTTGCAGCATTAAAAATTTAAGTACATTTAAAACCTACACAAAATCCTTTTGTGCAGAGGTCATTGTTATTAAAATATTTATATAAACTGGTCCAACTTGTATCACTTCTTCGAAAATGTGATCATTTAAAAAAATATTTATTTTTGCTTTTGTTCTCACTCACCAGTTCAATTCTGATGAAGTGTCTCACCCACAACATTAGCCTGTCCTTCTCTTTCAAATGCTGATCTGCTGTGCACTTCCGACTTTTCTGTTTTACTGCAAATTTATAGATTTCCTTTTTATCACTGCTAATTGGGGTCACTTTGCAATTCTGAGATGAAGGCTCAGAAACAATCGCTCGTGAAGACTTATAAGGAAGAAACTATTCTGAGGAGCATTGGAAACTATTTGGGTGTCAGCCTGCTCAGTTGATAGCATTCTTGTCTTGGAGTCAAAAGGTTGCAAGTTCAAATCCCACTACTAATTAACGAAAAGATGTTTGGATCTCTAGGTCCCATTGAAAAACTTGTGTTAATATGTGTGTTGACTTGGCTCAGTTGGTAACAATCTTGCCCTCTGAGTCAGAAGGTTGTGGCTTCATGTCCCACATTACCACATTAAATTCATGTCATCTAAGCTGACACTGCTATGCAGTACTGGGGCTGTTGTGTGTTGTTGGAGGTTCCATCCTTAAGATGAGATACTAAACCAAGGTCATTCACTCCATGACTTTTGGGGGACATTGCTGTGGGTAAATTGTCTGCTCTGTTTCTGAATAAACATTTTACAGTACACAGTATCCCATGAAGCGCTTTGAGACGTCCTCCCGACGTGAAAGGTGCCATATCACATATGAGGTTTATTTATGAATAGCTCTACTGCAATCAGAAATAGGGAAGGTGAAAGTGGGCATCCTAATGTCCTCCTTCGCCTGAGCCAAATAGAAGACAACTGAGGCCCAACATTTATTATGATTTCAGTCTTAAATTTGTCCAAATATTTATTATCTGGCAGCATTTTGGAAAACAGTCAACAAAATTCAGTCTTAATAATTATAATAACAATAAAATTTAAAAAAAGCTCAGTTTTTATTTTTATTATTTTGTGAATAAAAATGGACTTTAAAGGTTCTTACCAATGGGTCACTATTATAACACAGTGCAACTTTTACTCACATTTCCAGTTATGATTTTACTGAGTTAAAATTTCTCTCTTTGTCTATGCTTTTGGACAAACCACATGTTGAACGTCTGTCCAAGTAGGAATTGTATCAGGGAAATAAAACTGACATGCTTTACAACACACACAGGAGACCAAACAAATAAAAAAAAAGAGAATATTTCCTAATTGTTTAAAAAAATCCATTTGCTAGGTTAAAAATAATAATTATCCATGCATTTGATATTGAGAATGCTTCACAGGATTTATTGTAAAACATGTTCACCTACAAAATACAATACTGTGCATTGTACTTTGGAGGCCAACATGGAAGCTAATTTGTACACAACAATGTTCCCACAATTTTACAATTGCAACAAAAAGCAATTCTTTGGGTGATCAAGCTACATTAATCCAATGCACAATCGCATAGTTACATCAATGGTGGCACATTTATCACTTTGTTGTAACTTTTCCAAAGTTTCCAGGTGGAGTGATCTCAGGTCATATCATAGATCATGTATTAAAGAAATCAGTTAAAGGCTGATGTTTTGAATTCTCTTAAAATCATTTAAATGCATTGCTTGTTTTCTGTGGTGTAAAAGAATATATCGTATTGCATACATACAGCATGCCCTCGCTCTCTCAGTAAATGCACCAGCAGTTCTTTTGAAGACTTTAGAAAAAGTTCTGAGGAATGCAGATGAACCGTTTTCACGAATCTGGGGATTGTATGAAAACTACAGGTGGAGTTCAAAACCCAGCATTCCAGGTAAGGCTTTAAATTCTCATTCACCGCAGTTTATAGCAAGTTGGAGCCACTTAAAGGTTTTAAAACGACAAGTTAAAAAGGGGAGGATACACCTGCAAAAACTCCAAAGCCTTGCCTTTCTGCTCTTAATGAATCTGAAATAGCCATCTTAATGGCTTCTAGTGTTTTTCTCCAAAAGAGAGGAAATGTGCTGCATTGAATATGCATGTTTTGTTCCATTGCCAGAAAAGTGTTTGCGAAAGTTCGGTGGTGTTTATATCTTCCAATTAACCCTTATTTTTGAAGGAAAAGCTATTTGAAAAGGTGTATTCAGTGGTAGACATTTTAGACAAAATGGGAGAATCAATGAAAAATAAGTTTTTACAATTTAAAACTAAAATACCCATCACATGTCACTCCAGTTGTTTATCGATACAGTTAAAAAGGTTGGTTGTGGACCGGTCCCCAACCCAATTTTTCTTAAACTGTTCTTAAATAAGTGATAGGAATGAATGTAGGCTTTTTACCCAAGACTGTCCTATACATTTCAAAAATAAGGCACACAAAATTCCAGGACACAAACGTCGAAAAATCTCAAGTAGGTTTAGGGATTTTTTTTTCTGCCCTGTTCCTTATTAGCACCCAGTGCCTCATCCTATGCTTCTAAAATCATTCATACCGGTGGACCTCAGTGGTAATATCCAAGCCTAAATACTATTATGCTACTGAAGTGAATGCATTTGAGCTGGTGCTTGCTTCAGGCAGGGCTGGGAATGACCGATGCTTGGTTGTGCATTCCTCCTGTGGTGCAGCAGATAATCTTCCTGTTCTGTGAAAGGAGATTTTGTAATAATGTCATATTGTTATTAATAATTATTATTATCCTCATTACAAATACATACATATCCATTTGAAACAGCCTTGCATGGTTATGCTGCACTGATAAAGCCACAGCACGGTTATCACGCTATGATACGTTCGTTGACCGCAGTTCAACAGTTCCTCTGAAATGAAAGTAATACATTACTGCGAACTCCCCCGTGATGGCATGTTCATCCTAATCTGCTTAACCTGCCATGCTCAAATGTTCTTACTTTGTGCAATAAATATGGACCACTGATTCAGTTACTTTGCTGTGATTTGCTGAGCCGTTCTGGTTTGATTGTAATAGAAATATAACAGTGCATTGGAAGCACTTTAAGAGAAACCATCAAGTAACCTTGATTTAAAATCTGTTTTGGCTTTGTTGAGCATTCTCTGCAGGGGACTCCATATGCTGAGTTTATCTATTGTGCTTTGATTTAATACAGGATGAACAATAACCTGTGATACCATTACAATGTCTAATAACCTTGATAGCATATGCTTTAACTGCCTATCAGCAGCTTCTATGCAACTATATAGAACTGACTATGTGCTTGTGAGAAATTGCTTAAAACAGCGTGGACCAACGGGCCTCAACTGGCTCAACAGATGATTTTGTCTGTCCCGCAAACCATTTCCGACTTCATTTCACTGCTTCACCTCTGGGCTGTGCCTCTCCATGAGGACTCTCCATGCTGGACTATGGGAACTCTCTCCTCGCCGGCCTTCCCGCCACCTCCCTCCACAAGCTGCAGGTCATTCAGAACTCTGCAGCTCGTGTACTGTCCCGCACCAGGCTTCGGGACCACATCACTCCCACCCTCGCTCGCCTCCACTGGCTCCCCATCCCCCAGAGGATTGATTTCAAGATCCTCATCCTCACCTACAAGGCCATTCACGGCCTTGCTCCCTCCTACCTCTCCAACCTACTATCCCCCTACCTACCTGCCCGTACCCTCCGTTCCTCTGGCTCCGGTCTGCTCCACGTCCCCCGCCCCAACCGCCCTACCATCGGTGGCCGGGCCTTCAGCCTCTCAGCCCCCAGGCTCTGGAACTCCATCCCCCAGTGCCTTCACCGCCTCCTCCCTTTCCTCCTTCAAGGCCGGTCTCAAAACCTTTCTCTTTGACCGAGCCTTCAGCTCCCCTCTCGACTCTCTTCCCCCTCCTCGCTCCCTCCCTTCCCTCCCCTCACCCTGACCATTTCCCCCCTGCTCGGGTCATGACCCAACTGTGCAGCGCCTTGGGACGTCCTCCTGACGTGAAAGGCGCTTTATAAATGGAATCTTGTTGTCTTGTTGTTGTTGAGGCAGCGAGGAGAGTGACAGGAAGAGGGGCTGACAGGGTGCAGCTGGAGCTGGCTCGACCCTCATCCAACCTGGTGAGACGCAGCGAGCAGCAGCAGTATTTTGCAATTCTAAAACTACAGAAGTATGAGTCTCAGTAGGAAGCACAAGGTAGATATGGAAAACAGAGGATTTCGGTCTAAGTGGAAAGTGGATTACTCATTTACTGAAAATAATGGAAAACCTCAGTGCCTTGTTTGCTTGTCATATGTCATCTGTGTTTAAGGAGTTCATAGTTAGTTTTGCAATTATGGATACATCTGTTTTGGTTTTGTTGTAGGGGACTCCAAATGCTGAGTTTATCTCTTGTGCTTTGACTTTAATACAGGGTGACCAACAAGTTGTGATACCATTACAATGTCTAACAAGTCTTAAAGAAATTATGTTTTTTTTAGATAATAGGGTAGATATCATAACTTTTTGGTGATCCTGTACATTAAAAAAATGCATTTATTTCCAATTGAGATGATCATTATTAAGTAATACAGTCACACAATTTAAATCATAGGATTTCTGAATGATTCTTTTATATTTCTGGAAGGGAAAAACAAAAATATTGCTTATTTGGTCAGCGGACGTTTCTCAAATATGTCATCCTGCCTTCGACACCCGAAAGGTTGGACCACTCTGGCTTCAAACAAAGATTTATTTACTTTTGCCTTGAGAAAATCTTGGCTTTGATTACTTTCTATAATAATGCATAAATCATGGATATGTCACCATTGATCTTACCATTGGTACAAACTTGGACTTCCTTCATGTCTATAGAATTATTACAGAATACTCAGGTTACAGCAACTCTTTTTGTTGAAACTTAGGATGACGTTCAAATTGAGGTTGACGGTGATCAGCAAATGGAAAAACAATTGGATGCAAGAGACAATGAAAGCAGCAGTCCTATAAGGTAATCATAACAACTATAAATGGAAGACTGATCTTCACATAGCCTGCTTTTGCACATATTATGGTGTGCTGCTTACTTTGCAATATTTGTAAAAGTGGTGGGAAGCACCTCAGTCAGATCAATTAAATTGGGAGCAGGGTTTTCGAAAGCTGCCAAAGTATCAAATAAAGCCAGAGAGTCGAACATGCGAACATTCGCTGATGTCATTTAGCTTTCCGTTGTTCTTCAGTGTGTTTTGCTTCTCATCCCTTTGGCAAATACAGAAAAATAATTTGCCAAAAGGTAAAATACTGCAGATGGAAGTCTGAAATAAAACAGAAGTCGCTGGGAACACGCAGCAAGTCAGGCAACATCTATGCTACCATGTGATAATGATAATGTGCCATGTTATTGTGCAAGGTTAGTGATAATGTTGTTATTGGACCCATGAGCATGATTACTGGCTTTCCTGCCTGTTGTGCACACAGGAAATAGGGCCAGCCATACCTTTCAGCACATTGCACAGAGTGTAGTGTGCAGAAAGTGATGTCAGCAGTGGCTATTTCTTTTAGGAATGGGGTCAGTTGTGCTTCCTGCATGTTAATCACATATGCAGTAAAAGGGAAGTGATGTCTCATTTTGTGCCCTGATATAATACAATGTATGAACCCGAAACAATATTATAATGGAGTTCCTTGGCAATTTTGGCACTTAAAAAAACACACAATTGATGCTGACCAGATGACTTGATGGCAAGGAGGGAGTGGATGTGAAGTGAAAGCTACCGTTTCTTTGAGCACTGGATTTTTTTTGTTTTGTTTTTGTGAACTTTTGAGCTCATCAAAGGTAAGGAATGTTAGCCCTGAAAAATGTAAAATATTCCCGTTTTAGGCACTTGTGATCTTGTGATAATCACATAACAATATTTTCTTTTTTTTCTATATTTAAATGGAGTACTTTGAATGGAACGCGAGCTCTCCGCTTAAACTTTCAATCCCTTCAAGCATAAGCAAAATAGATAAAAGTATCCAGTTAACAACAAGAATAAAAATAGAATTTTAATGTTTTTTTTTCAAACTCACTTGACTGTTGTTTTCTTGAACATTTAATTTTCACAGACTTGTTGAAAAGAAATATGAACAGATACAAGAACACTATCAAAAGCATAGAGGACTTATTCATTGTGTGATTCTGGGCATCTTCCTGGCAGGTTGTATTTATCATACTGAGTAAGCACATTTAGCAGTAATTAAAATACAGACAGACTTTATCTGATGCAAAAAAAAGTGGCCTCTAGCTATTTTATGTTTACGATTTACAACTCAGAATTGGTATTGGCACTCTATATTAGACCTTATTGTCCTGAAAATACCAATTATATTCATGTTAACCAGATGCTATTCATTCTGTATATTCTGATTTAATAAGCATTATGCATTGTAATCTTGATAATGACTTCTTTAAGGTTTTAATTTGCCAAAAAATACAGTCATTTCACTTTGCAATATATCGTGTGATCGCTTTGCGACATCCTCTCGATGTGAAAGGCCCTATAACAAATATATTGATTATTATAGGTTCAGGGATATAATAATCAGATAGCAGAGAAAATTTGTGAATGTATATAAAGTGTCAAGATTATGCAAAAGTTATTTTAAATGAAATTGCTTAACACTTTATGTTCTACTCCACTGGTCCAGCAAATGTAGACATGAAAATATATGGCAACCTCCCTTAATCCCACCTCCTAACTATAATGCTTTCTACTTGTACTCCCCAAGTATATATGCATTTGCCTCTTGCATCTAAGTTATTGTGTGTTGGCAGTGAAATCTTGTCTGAATTCATAGGGATTCTTCACATGCACCAGACCTGATCGTACACAACTGGTTTGGAATTTTAATAGTATTCACAAATAAATAGTTTATAGAAGTATACTCAGATAGGAATAATCTCATCGAGATTCATTGCCCAATCTTGGATGAGGCCTATTTTCCATGTTTAATAAAGTGTGTGTTGTAGGAATTAATTGCAAGAAACAGCTTTGAAGCCAGATATGATTAAAAATGAGTACCTTATTGTGATGGTGCCATGTATTAAGATAAAGACTATATAATTTCTCCTATATTGATTTTGGCCAATATATACACCAATAAACTATTCAACATCAAAAGTTCAAATTAGACTGTCATCGCTGTTAAGATCGAGCTGAAAAAGTTTACAGTAAACTCCTGATAACAAGATAACTTGTCACTACCACTTAATTCGCCATGCTGTCAATATCCTGGTTGCTAAGCATGCAAAATGTTAGTAAGGGATTCCGCTTTACTTGTCACTGTGCTTCACACATAACTAGTTGCATTCCAGAAATTCTTGTAAGTACTTACAATGTAATAATTGATTGGATAACTCATCCTCTAAGATGAGTCTTGCATCGCAGAGGCCTCCCATCCTATCCTGTGCCTAATGTGGGTGCTCGGCGGAGGGTGGGAGTGTATGCTCAGATGCATCACAGTGACCTCTGGTCTGCTGGAAGAAGTCGTGTTGTGTCCTCTTGTACTATCCTGTGACAAGATCAAGCAGGAAGCCACGATACAACAACAACTTGCACTTATGTAGCGCCCTCCACCCAGTGTAGCGTCTCACACCGCAGAGCTTGACTCCAAGCCGGGGTAGGGGTGACTGTAAGAATGGTCGAAAAGGAAGATTTTTAGGTAGGACTTTAAAAAGGGGAGAGGGGCTGCACAGCAGAGGGATTCAGAGAGAATGTTCCAGAGTTTCGGGGTATAGTGTCTGAATGCGTGACCTCCAGTGGTGGAGCAGAGGGTACGAGGGACAAGCAAGAGGTCAGTGCCAGTCGAGCAGAGGCGCCAGATGTTGGATTTGAGAGTGAGGAGGTCGGAGAAGTAGGGAGGTGCCAGGGAGTGAATGGATTTGAACACGAGTGTGGGCATCTTGAAGTTGATCCATTCGGTGATGGGGTGCCAGTGGAGCCTGGCCAGAACTGGTGAGATTTGGGTACGGAGTTTGGTCCACATCAGTATGCAGGTTGCAGAATTCTGAATGAGCTGGATTTTTGAATAGTGGAGCTGGGGTTAGGAGTGCGTTTGAATAATCCAGGCGGGAGGTGACAAACGCATGTGGGGTAAGGTACAGTCGGTGGCGGGCAATGTGGCGACAGGTGACAGAAGGTGGTCCTGGTCAGGCAGAGATGTGTGCAAGGAAAGATAGCTGAGGGTCGAACCGGTCGCCTAGAATGCGCACTGGTTCGGTGAGTCTGAGGGAGAGCCCAGGGAGGTTGAGGAATTCAGATCCGCAGGAGTGAAGAAATTGATGGGAGCCGAAGAGTATGGCTTCTGTCTTGTCCACATTCAGCTGCAGGAAGTTTACACCCATCCAGGCCATGATGTCTGCCAGACAAGCTGGTAGAACATCGGTGGACCTGGAGTTGATACTGGAGGAGGCAAAGTAGATTTGTGTGTCATCCGCATACATGTGGAAGGTAATTTACTCTGTGTCTGCAGATGACATTGCCAAGAGGGAGCATATAGATGAGGAAAAGAATGGGGCCAAGGATGGAGTTATGGGCGTGAGCGGGAGAAGAAACCATTTGCCGAGATGAAGTGGAGGCGGTTGGTTAAATAGGACTTGAACCATGCAAGTGCAGTTCCACTAAGGTGGATGAGGGAGGAGAGTTGGTGAAGGAGGATAGTGTGATTGACTGTGTCAAACGCGGCAGAGAGATCCAGGAGGATGAGGAGGCAGAGGGAGCCCTGGTCACAGACAAAGAGGACGTCCTTTGTGACTTTGACAAGTGCTGTCTCTGTGCTGTGGTACAACCCTCCAATAGAGCAGAGTTCTCTGCAATGCATCCAAGCATGCATACCTAACCTCCATCAAGTACCCGCACTAGTCACAGCACCCCCTTGTGGCCTGGGAGGATCTATGTCTAACTCTCCACTCTGAATAACTTGTTTCGCTTTGTTTGCAAACTTGTTTGGTTTAGTTACAAACAATTTTCACAGCTATTGACTTTTAAAAATATCACTCAAACAAATAACTATTCAAGAAGAATCCTTGCCCTGGTAAAGAGCCTTAACAGATCGTAATGAGTTTTTCTATTAAGTACAGTGACTGTCTATTTGTAACTGAACACAGCATCTTATTTTGCACACAGTAATCTCCCACAAACAACCATGAAGTCAGTGACCAATTTTTTTCATCTGGGGTATTTCGGACAAACTCTTGCCTTTGCGAAAAGCATCAAGGGATCTTTAACGACCATCTCAATAAATAGACAGGACCCCAATTACTGTCTCATCCAAAAGTCAGTAGTTCCAACAATGCAGTACTTCACCAGGGCTGCTCTGGAGTGTCACACTAGATTATGTGAGCTCAAAGTCCCGACGCAAGCATTGAAACGACAACCTTCTGAGTCAGTGGCAAGAGTGCTACCAATTTAATTCAACAAGTTAACAAATTCTGGGTCCTCTAAATTTCTACCTAAACAGACTATTTCTAGACCCAGGTGGAATCTGTATTCCAGAGTTCCTTAACAAATTCCTCCAAGATAAGATTCCTCGTCTTTTTCCAGTTCCAATTTCAGTCCCACTGATGATAAGTTAACTGCATTTATTACCCTCACTAATGTCCCTTTTCAACTGCGGAGCTCTGAGTGAGTGGCTCCTCTGTGTCCATTAATACAATACAATTTACGTTTATTAGACTTTCATGTCGGGAGTATGCCTTAAAGCACTTCACACTGTTGGCTGGCTAGGTGCTCAAGCCGGGGTGGTGGGGGGGATGAAATTTGAAGCAGTTACGGAGGGAAAAGCTGACCAAGGTGCAGTCAAAGAGTTGCAACGGGCAATTTCAGGACTGGTACCAGGACGTTTTACTATACCAAGAGGGTGATTATTGATTAGAAGAAATTGGCTGAAGTTGGACACATTTACCCCTTGGCTATTTGTAGCACATTGATTGAGCAAATTAGATTATGGAAATGCAATAAACATTATTTTGTTAACTAATGTGCCACCAAATTTTTTATCACTATTGACAGATTGAATTTATTTGTGTCATGGCCTTGTTAATGGACATGAGGGTCAATTATACGAGTTGTGTTTATTATGTTGGTCATATAAACTATATCTGTATGGAGGGAATTCAGTGTGCCCTAATTATATAATAACCAATGAAAAGGTTTTACAAGACTTCCCCATAAAGGAAGCACTCAACCAGAACTCCACAGTGATAAAAGGACGATATTTCCAGCAAATCATATACATGTAATGGTGGTTAGTTCCACTAATCCTCGCTCCCAAAGCAATAAGTATAATATTCCAGGAAATACACTTTCAATGTACCTAATGCTATTTGTGCAGTTTGAAACAACATATATATATATAGTGCCCATTACTTGTCTCTCTGTTGTCCATTTCGGGAGGAGAGGCTGCTGCAGTTATGTAGAATGCTGGTCAGACTTTATTTGGAGTATTTTGTTCTGCAGGGGCTACTCCAATCAGGGGGTTATGGTAGGATGGAGGACACTCAAACACTAGATTAATAGTTTAGATTAATATCTGAATAAAGGGTCTCAGCTACAATAGGAGGCTAAGCTATATATAATGGAATGTACGGTTGACAAGCAACAACAATTTACATTTATGCACCACCTTTCACTATGGGAGGACCCCTCAAAGCACTTCACATAGTTGAATGGGCGCCAGACCTGGCAGAGGGGTATGGTGGGTGCAGAAGCTGAGGAGAGTTGGGATGGGAAAGGGGAAGCTGAGGAGGATGATGGAGTAGAGAAAGGAGACTGAAAGTGCAATTGAAAGACAGATCTTAAGGCAGGTTTTAAAGGTGGGTCAAGAGGGTACAAGCTGAGGGATTCTGGGACCGAGATCCAGAAAGTAGGGAAATGGCTGAAAGATCCTCCATTGATGGTGAGGTGGGTTGAGTGGGGGACATGAAGCAGGCCTCTGTGTCAATCTAACACAGGAAACGACCAAGATTATAGAGTTGATGTAGGTCACAGAGGTAGGTGGGTTGAGGCCATGCAGGGATTTGAACAAACGAGTACAAGAATCTTGAATTTGTTCCGCTGGGGATTGGGGTGCCAGAGAAGTGAAGTGAGGATGGGGATGACAGGAGCCTAATTCAGGAGAGAACACAGGCTCCAGAGACCTGGATGGTCTTCAGCTTGTGTAGGGAGGAGCTAGAGACAGTCAATGTTATGGAGGTCAGGAAAAGCTGAGTGATTCATATACACATGTATAAAATACCTCCCCTGTTCTTAGATTCCCATCCTTAAAAAGTGATAAAGCCTGTGGTTTATCTGATGAATCAGATTCGTGAAGTGAAAGCTTTGACATATTTGGAAAATTTATCCTTATTCTCTTATAAATAACTAATTAAATTTTGTATATTTAATTTCGATTCATGTTGTAATTCTGTTTATAATTTGAAACATCATTTGCTCTTTCTAAGAAAACAGTAAGAAAATTTCCTAAACTTAGCAAATGGAGCAGAATAGTTCAAAACAAATCAACAAATGCATTATATTTGGCAAACAGAATGGACTAACCCATCATCCCTCTCAAACACACACATAATGTGGAGTCCAGTAGCTCAGTGGTTAGAGCGCTCGCCTCGCAAGCGAGAGACCCAGGTTCGATTCCCGGCAGGGCGAAATGTTAAGCAAGTTTCCTTACTCAACACTCCTCTGTTTACCTACCAGTAAGTAGGATCCCAGTTGTTAGTCGATTGGCAAATTACTTTTCCAGGGGTAATAATTCCTTCCAAAATAATTTTAAAAAATAATAAATTGATGACTAAATTCACGACTGTTTGTGGGACACTGCTGTGCGCAATTGACTGCTGCGTTTCGCCCCTCAAAATATACAGTCAATTCACTTTGCAGTATATTCTGTGAAGCAATTTGAGACGTCTCGAAGACGTGATAAGGCGCTATATCAAATGCAAGGATTATTATTATTATAATCTCATTCCTGAAATGCAGACTTGATTCATCCCATTGATACACTGCATTTCTCCAAATTTAACATGCTCTGGAAGTTAAATTTCTCTTCCCACTAAGTTCAACAACATGTGCTAAGTGCATGGCATCAAAATCTCTAAATTGAGCCCCAAAAGTAATTTCTTGCTCATTTTCTTTTCCTTATCATTAATAATCAACTAACATCAGTCCTAATGCCAAATTAATGGTTGAGGGAATCAATATCTGTAAATAGCAATGATAATATTGTCTTCAAAGGTATCTGTTACAGGCTTCCGTGACAATCGATATGGATAACTTGTGATAGTTATAGATTGAGGTAAATAATTGCAGGTAGAACTTCAAATATATACAAGTCTAAATACATCATTTGTGGGTTTTATTTTTGCAGGCTACTTTACAATGGTGATTGCAGCATGCATTTTGAACTTCAACAGGGCCCTACCTCTCCTTGTGTTAACCTTACTTGGCTTGTTTTTTTACTTCTGGGATACGTTTGTTGCAAAGTTTGAAGACAATATAGTTGAGGCCTTTGTTCCCTGTGACAATTTCATCAAGAAGCAATGGTACTGGTTAAAATGGTGAGTAAAGTGTCCATTTGCTTTGGAGTTATTCTGGGGCAATAATATTGGCTGAGAATTGACATATCTATCTTTGATTTTATCGTTGATTAAACTACAAATAACTTTAAAATAGTCATTAAGGTGGCACAAAGCAAGACTGTGCAACCCCATAAAATAATGTTGCATTGTGAACAAGTATCAAAAAGGTGTATTATTTAGTCATCGGTGCAACAGTGAATATTTTTTGAAGAGGGGAAGATTTGAACTTTGCTGTTCCTCTGTGAGGTATAATTCTATCTGGTAGCACAGTTAAAAATGGGTGAAACTTGATCAATGACGCCCGGCACATTCAAATAAAAGTCAAAACTGATTTGAAACTTGCATTCCTGCAGAACAACAACAACAACAAAATTACATTTATATAGCGCCTTTCATGTCGGGAGGACGTTCCAAGGCGCTGGACAGACAGAGTTGCAGACCCGAGCTGAGGGTTGGGGTGGGGGAAGGGAAAGGGCAGGGGCAAAGCAGGGAGTCGAATGCATGGTCGAAGAGGAGGGTCTTAAGATGGGTCTTGAAGGTGGCGAGGGAGTGGGTGAGACAGAGGGACTTCGGGATGGAGTTCCAGAGGGTGGGTGTAGAGTGGTGGAAGGCCCGCCCGCCGATAGTGGGGTGAGCAAGGCGGGGTACATGAAGCAGGTCAAAGCCTTCTGAACGCAGGGAGCGAACATGGTGGTAGGGGGTTAGGAGGTCGGAGAGGTAGGGGGGAGCAAGACCATGGAGGACTTTGAAGGTAAGGACCAGGATCTTGAACTGTATCCTCTGTGTAATGGGAAGCCAGTGGAGTTGGGCAAGGATAATAATAATAAATAATAATCCTTGCATTTGATATAGTGCTTTTCATGTCTTCTAGACATCTCAAAGCACTTCACAGAATATGTAAAGTGAATTGACTGTATATTTGTGGGCGAAACGCGGTAGCCAATTGCGCACAGCAGTGTCCCACAAACAGTCGTGGATTGCAAATGACCAATTTATTATTGTTTTGTTTTGGAGGGATTATTATTAGGTGTGTGGCGTAAGGAAACTTGCCCAAGGTTTCGCCCTGCCTGGAACTGAACCCAGGTGGCTTGCTTGCAAGGCAAGTGCTCTAACCACTGAGCTATAGGACTCCACAATGGGGGTCCTACAGATTGGGGTGATAGGGTGATAGGGTCGCGGAGCCTAGTGCGGGAGAGGACGCGGGCTGCAGAGTTCTAGATGATCTGCAGCCTGTGGCGCAAGGAGTTGGGGAGGCCGACAAGCAGTGAATTTGTATCATCGAGCCCCGATGTCATGAGGCGTGTATGAGGGTTTCGGAGGCCTGCGGCGTGAGACAGTGGCGGAGCCGGGCGAGGTTGCCAAGGTGGGGAAGGCAGAGCGGGTTATGGCGTAGATGTGGGGGTAGAAAGGATAGTTAAGGGTCAAACAAGATCCTAAGGTTCCAGACTGGCTCAGCAAGGTGGAGTGTGCAACCATGGGCTGTGATGCAGTCAGTCGGAGGCGCTCACAGGAGCCAATCAAGAGAGCCTCGGACTTGTTGATGATCAACTGAAGAAAGTTAGCTCTCATCCATTGGAGTTAATGGATCCTAACTCTATTTAATGTAACTTTCCAACTCAGCACACATTTTGAGGTCTCAGTGTCATATGTTTGAGGTACTCAGTGCACATATTTCGTGTGGTATTATGTAAAGTGTCAGTTAAAACACATACAATTCAATGTGATGGTTTGAAGTAAAAAAAAACTTGCTCAATCTGTGTTTTGTCTCAGGGTGATTTATCTGACTTTGGTTGTAGCTGTGTTGTGTTGGCTTGTACTGGACACAGCCAAGCTAGGTGTCAGCCAACTTATCTCCTGTGGAGGGCTTGTAATGTATATTTGCCTCGTGTTCATTTTCTCCAAATATCCAACAAAGGTAAAGCCAGTTCATTATTTTTCCTGCGAATGTTAACTAAATGAAGTATTTTTAAACAATAGATTTCTATCGCATCCTGTCACATACTCTCCAGTTTATTACTACATAACATTTTGACAGCTCTCAATTTTACTTTGGCAATGTGTGACTTAAGAGCACAGTACCTTTCTCACATCTCTCTACCAACTGGCTACTGTACAAATGAAAGTGTAATAATAATATTCCTTGAATGTGATATATAGCACCTTACAAGGTCGTCGAGATGCTCCAAAGCGCTTCACAGGACTTACTGTAAAATGTAGAAACTTTTTTTTGTTTTTTAAAGACAGTAACAGTGAGTGAGATACCAACATGCTAGCAAGTCGGGTAATTTTACTAAATAGTTTTGCAGTAAACTCATCAAAAAGTTGTGTTGTTCTGAATTTAGGCCATCTAAATAGTTCTTTATTGTAATCTTCAGCCTTGACTAGGTTTGGTGATTTCTCAATGCCTCTTCCTCTCTTGTTTGTCCTAATAATAATAATCCTTACATTTGATATAGCGCATTTCACATCTTCTAGACGTCTCAAAGTGCTTCACAGAATATACTGTAAAATGAATTGACTGGATATTTGTGGGCAAAACACGGCAGCCAATTTTGGATTGAAGTGACCAATATTTATTATTGTTTTTTTTCTTGAGGGATTATTATCAGACATGTGGAGTAAGGAAACTTGCCCAAGATTTCCTTACTCCAGGAAATCGAACAGGAATCGAACCCAGGTCTCTCGCTTGTGAGGCGAGTGCTCTAACCACTAAGCTACAGGACTCCACAGGAGTCACTGAGCTACAGGACTAAGGTGCAAATTCCTTTGTACTTCCACTTGTTTATCCCTGTAACCTTCATGTGATGAAATCTAGCCTTGAAGTAACTCATACTCTAACGTAATATTCTAACTTTCACAGGATTTCAAAATTGTACAACTCTTCACTCCTCAACCTTTCTTCCATCCTTCAATTTTAGGTTTTCTTTATTTAACATTCTTTTCTCCTACTCTTTTTAACCTTCCTGGTGTCTTATGCTTTGGCTTTTGTTCCTTCAATTAGGTTGCTCAGAGTAAAAGAACAGATTTGGGTGTTGAAGGTGGGAGTGCCCAGAACTCTTTAGCACAGTGTGGTAACTTAATAAATTTGTTCACTTTTAAATCGCATTTCTTCCCACACTCTTTTCTACTTACTTGGGATCCCACTACTTTCCTGAGATACTGTCTGGCCAAAGCTATTAATAATCTGTGAGGTTAATTAAACTTTGCACCACATCCAGTGCTGAGAATATGCAAATAGTTACCGTTTTCTATCTTAACTAACACTTTACTGTGAAGCATTTTGGGACATTTCATCAATGTACAGGGTTATCAAAAAGTTGTGTTCCCATTACAATGTTCAATAAGTCTCAAAGATATAGTGATTTTTTAGATAATAGGATAGTTATCACGACTTTTTGGTCACACTGTACAAAATTTACAGTCAAATCACTTTACAGTCTATTCTGTGAAGCGCTTTGAGATGCCTCGAAGACGTGATAAGGTGTTACATCAAAATGCAAGGATTATTATTATTATTAATGTGATAAGGTGCTATATTAGATGTAAGGGATATTATTAATAATAGTCACAAAACAATAACTTGTGATTTTGTGCAATATGCAGACATTTATATTTTTTCTGGGTATTTTGTGCTTAATCTAAAAGCTAAATATTGTTGTCTCCCATTAGTAGTATCAAGCTCACTCTCTGCAACTAACATTAAGATGACAGTTGTAGACATACATTAATGAGTTTTTACTTGGAACATGTCTAGGTGCCTTGGAGGACTGTATTCTGGGGATTGGGTTTACAGTTTATCCTTGGAATTGTCTGTCTGAGAACACAAGTGGGATTCAATGTATTCAACTGGTTGGGGTCTCAAGTTCAGGTATGTGAAAGAGAATGACTAAATCATTTCCAAAAGCCCTTAAAAGACAAATGCTTTTTTCAAAATATTTATGGGACTTATTGTCCCAACTCAGGTGCAAACCCTTCACTGTCCAACGCCTTGGGATGTCTTCCTGATGTGAAAGACATCATATAAATACAATTTGTTATTATTGTTGAGATTACACTATGATCAAATGTGGAATTTCCATTTATAAAACGTCTCGGTTAAATACTGCAATTTGATATTGATAAGCCATGGCTGTCAAGACCCTTGGCATGTCCTCTTGATGTGAAAGACACCATATAAATGTAAAATTGCATTGTACTTGCTCCATGTTCCCTACCCTGTCCACCCCACCATCGGCAGTCGGACCTTCAGCCTTTCTGATCCCAACCCCAGGTTCAGGTGCAAAAATCCTTGATAGTCCAGCACCTTGGGATGTCCTTCCGACCTGAAAGGCGCTATGCAAATTTGTTGTTGTTGCCTTTTAACGAGGCACAGTGAAAAAGTATTTGTAATTTGGGGGGCTATTGAGGAGAGAGAAAATATTTGGTGACATAAATGTACAAATGACTTAGTGAAAGATTTGGATGGCATTTTTACATCATTGTGGGAAACAAAAATTGTTTGCTCAACACTGCTTCATGAGACTGCAGGATGGGCTGGCCTTTTGTATTGGGGTGATGTTTTGGTATATTCCATGTAACTAATTCATACTTTTATCTTGTTACAGTTTTTTTTGCAATATACAGACGCCGGTTCAAAATTTGTATTTGGTGATGCATTCACACATCACTATATTGCATTTAAGGTCAGTACAAAAAATAAACGTTTAAATATTTGATGCTTAAAAAGTTCTGGTGGTACCATAGTTGAGAAAGAATTGAGTAACACTTTAATGTTCCCATTTAATCACTAGGTCCTCCCAATAGTGATCTTTTTCAGCACAGTGATTTCCATACTGTATTATATTGGATTCATGCAGTGGCTTATTATGAAGGTAAGTTGTGAGCAGCTTTGAATTCTTATTAAAAGTCTTATTATTACCTTTCTAATGGTCAAGTACAAAGCCCACTTTTAACACAGCGAAAAGAACTGTACACAGTAATCTAGGTGCAGCCTGATTGGACCATATACACCTTAAGCTTGACTTGGCAATATAGCCCAGCAACCCATTTGTCTTGTTTATCTTTGTTTCAACTTTTGAGCAATGAGTTAACAAACACCTCTTTCAACTTCCCAAGCTTTCCTGAAGCTGATAGAATAAATTAAACTTATTGGCATTAATATTAGAAACTTAAAGTAAGACCAGCAGTACACAAATAATTTTCAAAATGGATGCTTTAAGTTAGTTAATCATGGGGGTGCTGGATAGCCAATTAGAAATTTCCAATATAGCCATATAGTCCATATAGCCAGTCCACCACTTCCAAGCACAGGGCTAGTACCACAGCATCATTGTTAATCTGCCACTGTTTCCTATCTCCAACCACCCTCCACTTGCCAGTAACGAGCCAAGCAACAACAACAACAACAACTTGCACTTATATAGTGCCCTCCACACAGGGTAGCGTCTCAGAGGGCATAACAGTTGCGGAGCCTGTCTATGAGTCAGGGGGTGGGGGGCAGGAGATGGCCGTAAGCACAGTTGAAGAGGAAGGTATTCAGGCAGGACTTGAAAAAGGGGAGAGAGGGGGCAAGGCGGAGGGATTGAGGGAGAGTGTTCCAGAGTTTTGGGGTGCAGTGGCTGAAAGCGTGAGGAACGAGCAGGAGGCCATTGTCAGTCGACCGGAGGCGCCGGGTGGTGGATTGGGGAGTGAGGATGTTGGAGAGGTAGGGAGCTGTCAGAGAGTGAAGGGATTTGAACATGTGTGTGAGGTTCTTTAAGTCGATCCATTCGGTGATGGGGAGGCAGTGGAGCCTGGCCAGAACTGGTGAGATGGGGGTATGGAGTTTGGTCCGGGTCAGTATTGGGCAGCAGAGTTCTGAATGAGCTGGAACCTTTTCAACAGTGGAGCTGGGGAGACCGGTGAGGAGTGTGTTTGAGTAATCCAATCGCCGAAGCCCTGAGGTTGCCGGCTCCCATTGATCAGTTCCCCGCAGCGTAGGTGTCACTCAAGGCCACCCGTTGGTGGAGTGCACCAGAAAAGGGGGATTGAGGGGAAAGACAGGATTTACTATGTATCCTTATTAAGGACCGCTGAAAAAGCCCCTCCCAAGCGTGGGTCTGGGGGCATTGTTAATCCGCCTGGCTATTCAGATGAATGTTAAAAATCCATGGCACTATTGAAAAACAGAAGGGAATTTTTTCTGGTGTCCTGACCAACAATCCCCCTGCAAAAATTGGTTATTTATTTCCTGGCTTTTTTCTGAGACATTGCTGAGCGCAAACTGGCTACTGCAATTACTAGCCTCTGTAGTAAATCCTGTGAAGCACTTTGAGACATTCTGCTGATATAAAAGGCACTATACCCCAGCATCCTAACAAAATTGGATTCTACTTATTCTCATAGATTATTTGTCAGAGAAAATTGTGCAATTAACAAAGATTTGCAAATAGCCGCAAAGATAAATTTGCAAGGATCAAGACTCTGGGAACTATGGTCAGCAATAAAATAAAATCCCAGGAAAGTCAATAAAACCCTAAAATATTTGAAATGTGTGCATGAAATATTTAAGGGATTAGTGAATGTACTTTAGATTTGGTTACACTCAAGTGATTTTACTTAAGACACAATTCCAATTTATTTGATAAAAATCAGTATTTGTCAGGTTTTCATTATAAAGCATTGCGACACGTTACCCTGGCCAATGTGAAGGTTGCTGTATAAGTGCATGTTGTTGTTGGTACCTCTCCAACCTGCTGACACCCATCCCCTCTACCCTCCCCTTCGCTCAGCTGGCTCCGACCTCCTGCACATTCTTTGTCCCCTCTGTTCCACCAACAGCAGGTATGCTTTCAGCCACTCCACACAAAGACTCTGGAACTCTCTGCCTCAGTTCGTCCACCTTGCCCCCTCCTTGTCCGTCTTCAGATCACTTCTGGAGACCTTCCTCTTGACCAATCTATGGTCACTGCCCTCTCTCCCTGGCTTAGCGTCAAGCTTCTCCACTATTAAGTGCTCCGAGACAGTACGCCACATGAAGGGCACTGTATAAATGCAAGTTGTTGTCATAGGCAGTGGGTGGCTAGCGCGAGAGGAAGCTCAGTTCCCTTCAAAAATATGGATGACTGCTACCACCACCCCCCCCCCGAACCCCCACAATTCTCACTCCACAGGCTCCGTACCAATCTTAAAGATGGCTGTTCCCCTCCTTCCTCCGCACCATGCAGACACTGTACCAGCCTTAAAGATGCCCTCCACCTTCCTCACTGTGCAGACTTCAATGGATCTTGGAGTCTGTGGGATGATGACAATGGAGGCAGCCATCTTTAAAGCTTGCAAGGAGCATTGCACACTGAGGAGGTGGGAGCGGGAGGTAGCCATTTTTGATACTGAGGCTGCGAGTGTCTAAAAGGGGTCGAATACTCAGCGCCCCCCCACACCCCCACCTGGCAAAAAATATTTTCTCCCAACTCCTGTGGTGAATCTTAGTAAGAATTCCCAAAGCTAACTATTATTGTCTGTTTTATGTATTTTCTATTGTTTCAAACGTCAAAAATGGTCAAACTCTAGGTTACAAAGTCCATACAGAAGACTGACAATCTTAAAACCCAGAAATTGACCATTTTTGTAGTTCAAAAGAAAACAAAAAATCTGGAAAAAGTAAGGTAAAATGTCAGTATAATCTGTTGAAAATTATTTTAAAAATCCGTAAACTAGTAACCCTCAATATAATCCATTACTCAACCAGATTGTCCACCTAAGTACAGTGTGATGCAAGTTATTGTCATGAGGTTTCCTATCCAAATATTAATGCATGGAAATCTGAGCTACCTTCAACATAGGACAGCAATTGTATCCAATTTCACTGAGTGAAACTAAATACTTTAATCTCAGCTCCTTGGAACATCCTCCTGATGGCGCTAATAAATGTAATTTGTCGTTGTTGTTGAAACTAAATAGGGATGTATCTTTACTGCTACAAAAAAAAAGGTTTCTGTCAGGAGAAAAGTGTCCAAAATATTTTTTCTTATTCTTACAATATTACAGCATCACAGTTTATTTTGCTGAATGATACAGACCAGATTTTTAAAGGTTCAATTGATAGGAATGTCTTTGCAATAATATCCTGTGTTACTTTAGACTGATATTCCATTTCCATCAAGGTTGGCTGGCTCATGCATGTTACCATGGGAACGTCTCCGATGGAGTCAATGGTGGCAGCAGGAAGCATATTTGTGGGGTTGGTGAGTAGAACTAATCAGTCAGTGATATCTACAAAGTTCACCCTAGTCTTTGTCATCCATCAGAATTAAAACACTATGTCCGAGCCACATGACTTTACACTTCAATCCCAAATCTGGCCAAGATAGTAAAACCAAGTCACTTTCCTCAAATGATAATGTCATATGTGGTTTCACTTTAGCTCCACAAACCATGAAACCAGGTACAATGGTCTTCCCTTCTTGTCAATTTTCAGGGGACATTTTGACTTTTGTTGTTAATTCTGCCTGCCGCACCCAGTACACGTTGAATGCTCTTTATTCAAGTGAGAGCTTTAAGAGTAAGTATTAGCAGGCTAGTCAACCAGTATAGTGTGATGGTGGATGCATTACAGCCTGTTCTCACAAACACACAATTTGCAGTGACTTGTAAATTATTTATTCAATTTTATATTTGTTTTTTGTGCTGTAATCTTGAGAATCCCAGTGCTTCCTGCTTCAGGAATCACTCTTTAACCAATTGGGCTGAGTGGCCTACTTCTGTGCCTTATCACTCTGTATAACTCTATGACGAGCCTGAGAAGTGGAATATTACAAAAATCGAGGCCTACCCCAGTCGCTCATTGAGATGTGCTGACACCTAGTGGTTGATCAGTCTTTCAAATTAAATACATACGTAGTTTGCATTTAAATGAATGTCCCAGGTGTTAATTATTTGTATATATATATTAATATAATAATCCCTGCATTTGATATAGCACTTTTCACGGCTTCTAGACATCTCAAAGTACTTCACAGAATATACTGTAAAGTGAATTGACTGTATACTTATGGGCGAAACACGGCAGCCATTTGCCCACAGCAGTGTCCCACAAACAGTCGTGGAATGAGTGACCAAATTATTATTGGTTTTTTTTTAGGGATTATTATTTCCGTAGAAGTGATCCGCCAATTGACTAACAACTTACTGCTACTTACTGGTTCCTACTTACTGCTAGGTAAACAGAGGCGTGTGGAGTAACAAAACTCAAACCCACATCTAACCATTGAGCTCCAGGACTCCATTACTTTTATTTAATTATGAAATGCCGCAAATTCAGATCTAATTTATTTTTTATGTGCAGTCAAATTATTTGTATGTTTACGTGCACACGCAGACCGAAACCCCACTCTTGATTCGTCCGTACCTCTCAGATCTCACAAAATCTGAGATCCATGCTGTCATGACTGGTGGGTTTGCAACCATTGCTGGAACTGTCTTCGGGATCTTTATTTCATTTGGGGTGAGTGACCACAAATAATCGTTATTATCCATTTCTTTATAATCCTTACATTTGATACAACACCTTTCATGTCAGCAAGATGTCTCAAAGCATTTCACAGGATTTTAGTGTAGTGACAATATTTATAACCTTATGTTCAAGATTATACTATTGAACACAATCTGACATTATGTTCACTCGTAAAGGAAAGCTTGTGAGAAGCTTGCATCTGCATACCTCTGGCTCTGATTCCATCAATCTCCACAGCTGTTTACTCAGGCTGAACTTAGTGGTACACAACTTTAGTGATCTTCTTGATACTGCACCACATTAGATCCGTTGCTAAGATTGCCTTTACCCACCTCTAGAACAATCCCTAATCATGCCCTTCCCTCACCCCAGTGAAATCTTTATCCATGCTTTCCCCACCAGAAGGATAGTTTTCCAATGCTCTCCTTACCAGCCTTCTGATCTGCACTCTCCAAAGACTTCAACTGATTCAAAACTCTGCAGTCCAAGTTTTCTCCCACACAAGAGTCTGCACACTCATTTCACCCCCAACCTTGCCTAACTCTTTTAGCTCCCAATGCTTCAGAAAATGTAGTTTAATATATTTCTCCTGGTATTCAAATCCTTCTATCATACCTAGGTATTCTCCTCCAGCCCTGTTCCAACCTGCACACTCCTCATCCTGTCACTCTGGTCTATTCCTCACTCTCCACTGCACTATTGGTGTCCAAGTCTTCAGCTTCCATGTCCCTGTTATATGAGACTCTCTTCCAAAACCACTTTGTCTTTCTACCCCTTCTCTGCCTTCCAAAGCATTAGTCTTTGGCCTTACCTTTGGTCAACATCTTTAAATATCCTGTTAACTTGTTCAGTATTCATCATAATATTTGTTAAGTGTTCTCGAATATTTGTTCAGTGAAAGCCAACAACAGGCAAATTGTTCCTGAAAGCTAAAGAATGGATTCTGTTGAGACCTAAGCTTAGGTTTGTGGTAATACAAAGATGACAGTAAATTGTCAAAAAAAAACAGGCTGAAATGTACAAATAGACTATACTATTATCTTAAGGACCAGCAAAATGTCTGATGTTTAAAATACAGGTTTCAGCCTCCCATCTGTTGACAGCCTCAGTGATGTCTGCTCCCGCTTCTCTGGCTGTTGCCAAACTCTTCTGGCCTGAAGTTGATCGCTCCAGAGTAGGACTCAAAACTGTTCTTAGTTTGGAAAAAGGGTAAGTTCCTCTTATTCCTCTCTTACAACTTACAACAATGAATGGCATGAAGGCAGGAAGGTTATTAAGGCTATTAAGTAGGATCAGTGGGTTGTATCGCTCCATAAAGGAATACAACTGCACAATAACAATCTCTGGCTGAAGTCTGTTGTCAGTTATGGCTGGAGGGGTCATTCTGGGATGGTGCCAGTGTTACACAAGGCCGGTGCTTTACAATAGACCCAGAAGGGTATCCTTAGGGTTTGGAGGAAGCATTAAACGGAGTTGGCATCTGACCCAATAGGACATAGCAAGAATCCATCTGAATGGAGGGTGGAAGAGCTGGCGGGAAATGGGCCAAATAGATGGACTTAATGGCTCAGTCTGCTGGAAGGAAGTGGACTCAGCACTGTGTCACCTTGCTAATGGTAAGGCATCAGGTGCAGACAGCATTAATGCCGAGTTCCTAAAAACTGCTCTGAGAGTGGCCACAGAGAACAGTGAGTGTCTTACAGAGCTAAGCCAGGAACCTAGACAAGTCAACACAGTGGTCACTGAGGCGAGCAATTCATTGGTGTTTCCCAACTGTCTCAAGACAGTCCTCCCGACATGAAAAGCACTATATAATACATGTAAGTTGTTGTTGTTTCAGAGTGTCATTGTGGGATCTATCCACAAGAAGAGTGATTTTAAGACTGGGAGCTACCAAGGAATCTTACCGATTTCAGTAGTTCTTCAGGTAGTCACTGCACTTATACTGTATTGCATGATTCCACCTATGTTTCATTCATCGATTTCCACAAGGTCTTCAACCCAATGCCTCATGAAGCACTTAGTGTATATGTATATAAGGGATCCTGTAGCTCAGTGTTTACAGCACTCACCTCGCAAGCAAGAGACCTGGGTTTGATTCTCGGCAAACAAAACCTTGGGTAAGTTTCCTTACTCCACATGCCTTCCGTTTCCATTTTCTTTAGTGTTTCTTTTAATATTTCTTTCATGGCTGCTGATACCCTTCTGAGGAGTTGTATCATATGTTGTAACTTTTAATCTTACTTCAAACTCTTTCATTAACCATCTCTTTACAAAACCCTTCCTGTATTTTTTTCAATACGTCTTCACTTTCTAGTGATGCAGTTTTTAAGCATTCCCATTTTGATTATTTCTGGGAGTCCAATCAATGTTTCTGCTCTGGTTTTCTCAATGTCAAATATTACTTTATGTGACTTGCTTTTATAGAGCAATAACAACAAGATTACATTTGTATAGCACCTTTCACGTCGGGAGGACGTCCAAGGCCTGGACAGTGTACAGCATTGCAGCACTTCTATCTCTACTCTTCCTACTGTCTCTGTTTCCCCCTTTGTTATACGCAGTGAGTATTCCTTGTCCCTTTCTCATTTTATTCTCCCAATCTTTGGTAAATCTCCTATGACATTACACTTGCTTGGGTTCCAGTGTCCAGCTTGCATTATATATTTTCTGTCCTTCCATACACCTGAATGATATATTCATCATATCTCCTAAAGGCATCTCCACGTCTCTCTCTAGTGTTTTGAAATATTATTGTGCCTTTTCTGCTGCCCACATTTAAAAATATTGCATTTTGCTATATTTGTAAGGTAGTGACTATTGCAAATATCTGTAAATCCAGTTCTAACTCCTATCAATTATGTTGTAAGTTTCCTATTACATTCAATGGTCTTGGTATTTGCACATGCCTTGATAGTTAATCTTTTTCTGGCATTCCCAAGCTCAAGTATGTGTTTGTTTTCCAATATCGGTGTCCACTTGCTTTGTCTTTTCCAGTCCTGATTCAGTTCACTTCTGATATCATGTACTCACTCAGTACATGGAGTGTAATTGAGATTATTTGTGTCTTTACCAAATGATACTGATCCAAACTCTACCTTAATACTCCCTGTACCCATTTTCCAGTGTTCTTTTGCATCAGTCTTTCATACCCTATGGGTCAAAGATGATCAGTCCCCAAACTGACTTCCCTAGACTCAACCATACAATTGTTGGTGCCCCTTAAAATGATATCACCCAATTGCTTCTATTTTATTCTGCAGGCAAGGAAGAAACATAATAGAAGCTGCCTGTCTTGGAGCCTCCACCTCAGTATCACTTGTGGCATTGATCGCTGCCAATCTTATTGGGTTCCTGGCTCTTCTGGCTTTCCTTAATGCCACACTATCCTGGCTCGGAAACATGTTTGACTGTCCTCAGCTCAGCTTTGAGGTAAATTTCTGTCTTTATTTTCTTCCACATGTATTCTGTCCAGGGTTTTGAAGCATAAAAGTTTGGACAGACGGTGTTTCCACAGTGAGCAATGACCTGGAACAGGTTACCAGGAAAGATGGTAGAGTCCCGGACATTGGACTCATTTAGAAAGCAACTAGTACAGGCAGGATTGGAAAGGGCAGTAGTGTTAATATTCTAGATTGTTGAGATTTATTGCACTGAAGGGTCTTCTTCATGTGAACCTCTCCTGATATTTAATGTGCGGCTGATGGAACTGGAATCCTCATGTTTAAAACAGAAAACGTGTGGAACAAGAGAAGGCAATTCTGTCAATGATTCTGCTCTTTCTGATGGACCACAAAGAAATTTACAGCCCAGATGAAGGTCATTCAGTCCAACATGTCAAGCCATGTAGCAGGCATTGATAGGGACTCTTTACAATTTATTTCAGGACTCCCAGTTTCCAGAATTTGCCGAATCCTTAAATTCAGCCTTAATTTTGAAGCCAGTTTTCAGTAAGTTCTTTTAAGTTTTACAGAGAAAACAACTTCAAACTTAAGACTGAATTCAACAATTTGTCAAATTCTGGACACTATTAGATGTTACATATATGAAAGAAGTAGAGACCGAGGTGGAATTTCTCCCAAAAATTAGGAAGCAAACTAACCTATATCCATGTGGGAAATCCATTAACTAGGCAAGTGATTAAAACACATCTTTCATAAGTTGTAACTTTTCTTCCAGTTGATTTGTTCCTACATCTTCATGCCCTTTTCCTTCATGATGGGCGTGGACTGGGATGACAGCTTCATTGTTGCTGAACTTATAGGAATAAAAACCTTCTTCAATGAATTTGTGGCCTTTGAAAAGCTTTCTGTATTGATGAATAAAAGGCTTTCGGGTGAACCCGAGTACATTGAAGGAGTGAAGCAGTATCTGTCTGTAAGTAAATGGGAATTTCTTTATAAAGGGAGCATGGATGGCCTCTTTCTCATGCTAGCAGAATTTCGCAGAAGAAAAGAAAAAATGTTTTTCCTCTCAAATCATTAAATATTTTTGCTGCTTGGGTGCTTATCCTGTTTCATTTATTGACTCTGTTGATCTAGCCTCAATATTCAATAATTTAACACATTACCAACCCTCTGAGGGAAGAAATTCCTTCTAACTTGCCCTAACTATGCTAACAGAAACATTTTGTGAAGCACTTTGAAATAGTTTTGACAGGATAAGATGTTATATCAAATGTAAAGATTTCTATAATTATTCAAACCCTTTATTCATGGTTGTTCTTTTATAGATCCGTTCTGAAACTATTGCTACTTATGCCCTGTGTGGATTTTCTAACTTTGGATCTCTTGGTATTTTAGTAGGAGTGTTGGGTAAGTTTGAATTTGCCAGGTTCTCTGTTTCATAAATTGACTGACATCAAACCAAGATCCTGTTTTCACTTGGATGTTAAATATCCCATGATACTCTTTGAAAATAGAAGGAGTTTCTCCCAGCATCCTGGCCAATAATATTCCAGATTAATTTGCCACTCATGGCTGTTTGCGGCACTTTGCTGGTGCAAATATCTGCCATATCTGCCTATAAAATATCATTACAATTAGTGGGCCACCTCATCCTCCAGGCTTTCCCACTCTACATCATCATCATCATTATCTCCTCTTGTGACCGCAGCTATGACCACCTGATGTTGCCCTAGCTTACTTTGTAAATTCTTGATATGAGCCTGGCATCTAGTATGATCGCCAGTTCCCATCCCGATCTGTTTTAATTCTTCTCTTAGCACCCCTCGAGCGTCACTCAGCTCCTTCTGCAATCGACTAAACTCCTGACTCTTTGCTCTCGCTTCCCTTGTATTCTTCTTGAGCTGCCCTTGCCAAGTTAACAACAGCCTGCTGTTCCCCCACAAGGCAGTTCAATTCAGTAATTTTCATCCTCATCTCTTGTACCTGACGCCTCAACTCTCTTACAGTTTCTTGATGTCCTGCCTTCCCCTGCTTTATACGTTAGTTACTCACACTACAATACCTCAATGCATACTTATGCACATTTTTGGCACCTTTTCCTTTAAGGTGACCCGCTTGCATCTCTTTCTCAACCCATTCTCGGGCTTGAGTGTAAGGGTCTCGTGCACTGGTCAAGACACTCACTATACCCATTCCATTACAGAACCCTTAATCTTCTCCTTGTACTTTTCCCATGACCCTGTCATGTTGAATAACCCAGTTAGTCACTTGTCTGGTCCTGCTGCGGTCGCCATATTGTTGGGATCTGAACTCCCGGTGTTCGAGTCAAAAGACCAGACAATAAAGTTTTGTGGCTAACTCAGTTTATTCAAATATAAGCACAGCAAGAATACATAAAACATTTACTACCCAGTTCTGGAGCAGTCAGCGTGCTTTGGCCCTCTGCCTCTGCATGCCTGGGTTCCCTGCAGATTCTGCTGCTTTATGTCAATAACCTTTCAACTTTATACCTTTTTGTTCATCCAATCAATTATCAGGCACTTAGGCCTTTCACAACAATTCTTTCTGTTTCGGTGGATGTTAAAGATCCCGTGGCACTATTCAAAAAGAGAAGTTTCTCCAGTATCCAGACCAACAATCCCCCAAATAAAATTGGTCACTTACTCCATGGCTGCTTGTGGGACATTGCTGTGTGCAAATTGGCTGACACTTTTGATTACAGAGTCACTCCACTTCACAGTAAATCATGTGAAGTGCTTTAAGATATCGACAATGTGATAAGGCACTATACCAAATGTAAGCTCCCCAGCCCTGCAATAGTGTCAGTCTAGATTGGGTTACTAACATGAGGCATAAACCCACAATGTAGAGTTGAAAATATTTGTCTTCAGCTTCAAAGCCTTCCACAGCCTTGCTCCTTCCTACCTCTGTGACCTGCTAACTCCATATCAACCTGTCCGCTCCCTCCACTCAGCATGCTCCAAGTCCCACACCCATCCCGTCCCACCATCAGCGGTCGGGCTTTCAGCTTCTCTGCCCCCGCCCTTTGGAACTCCATCCCACATTCCTTTTGCTTCGCTTTCTCCCTTTGCCTCCTTCAAGGCATGTCTCAAGACCCACTCTTCGACCGCACTTTCGGTCACCCTCCTATCCCTACACTCCCTGCCCTCCACCCCTCCTGATCCCAATCCCCTCCTCGGGTCCAAATCCCTGTCTGTTCAGTGCCTTGGGACATCTTCCTAACGTGAAAGATGTTATACAAATGTAATTTATTGTTGTTTGTTGCAAGTATTATTAATATTATCAAACTGCAGTAGTTTGTGGAGTGGCATCATAAGTTGTGATTGTATTTACACTAACTAGAATAAGAGGGAAATTGGCAGAAATGTTGCCCCAATATGTCCTGAAATTCTAATCCCTGTGCTTGATGATATGATTATTACATTAAATATTCTGGACTAAATTGAGGTGAGGTGTTCTTTGAACCATTGCAATTGCATCTCAGTTTCATTGATCGTCTTTCTCCTTCAGTATCTATGGCTCCCCAGAGATCAGCTGACATAACAGAGGTCTCTGTTCGGGCTTTAATTGCTGGTACCATCGCATGCTTTATGACGGCATGCATAGCAGGTATGATTTTCAAGCTATTAGTCAAACAATTCACATGAAGATGACTTGAGAAGTTACCTAGCTAGCTTTACATACTTATCCCAGTGCAAACATTATAGGATGATAGATATTGGTTTAATGAATGATTTACGTCTATTGTCTATTGGCTTTATTAATGGTTTTTAAAGAACATGCCAGTACTATATGATGCAATGAAAATTGATCACAACATCAGATTGCGGTCGAACCAGTTTTGATCGCACCTGGTGTGATATGAAGGCATATCAGCAAGAATAATCTCAGTATTTATCCCTAGACCATGCTCATCTGATCATAGTAAGACATATGGAGATACCAAACTACAATTGGTAGCAAACCTCCTACAACTAAAACAACTAAAGTAACATATGCATAGGATAACACGTTGGAGCACCTTTCACAAGGCAATGTGGATCACCGAGAATTTAGTGCGCCACTGAGAACATTTCCATTTTCCAACCATTTTTCAGTCCTGTCATTATTCCCTCCTCCCCATCCCTTGTCTGGCGACTAGTAATTTGGTATCAATTGTAAGTACAAGAAGATTTGCGCTGTGGGTTCGAACAAGATTGATATGGAAATAATTTGAGTCGTGAATAATACGAAGAGTCTTGCCATCCCATCAATCTGGACTGATTTTGGGGAGGTTACTGGGTGCCTTAACACATGATAAAGCCCATCATCATGCTTAAGAGTATCCAAATCAAAGTTCCATATATGTATCCCACCTGCATATGGAAATTTCCCTGTGTCTGGAATGGAAAACACACTCTCTCCCTGGAGGGACACATACTGCTTACCTAATTCTAGAGAGTATTAGGTGCAGGCTGGCAAGAGCAAATGCTTGGGGACTCCAGAGTGTAACATTGGGGTACTGCTGGAATTTAACCAGTTAAGATTGCACAGCCTGTCATCGAAAGGACTGTCGGCAAGCTTTCCCACTGATTATCAAGCTAGGACCACCCAACCTTGTTAGGGCTTTGGCTTGCAGGGTTAACCAAAGCTGAGTGGCAAGGATCCCTGCCCCCCATGACTGATCTGGAACCGGGAACTCCCTGCATGCTTAGTGGTGGGCAACACAGCTTAGTATGAAGTGCGTGAGAGCATTGCCACTATCTTCCTGCCCACAGCTTGGTCACACATCCCTATCCATTGAGCGATGGTTCCACCATTTGCAGATGTGGAGTTTGAGCAACAGCTGTTTACCTCTCTGCAAACCAATCAAGGTGGATTGCAAGCCCTGGATGTATGAACATTTGTGCCCAAACTGGACTCCAGGTATTGCCTTCCAGTAGATTTTGACCCAAGCGTCAGAGTTTCCTCATCAGCTATCTGACAGACATCTGCCTTCAGTGTGATAGGAGGTCCTTTACAGGACAGCTTGTGATGTGTCAGCCACCTTGTTGTTTTCAAGACTTTACTTGATATTGAGACTTTAAACACCATTATTTGTTTTAAATAGGACTATTATACATTCCTGTCACAGATGTGACTTGCTCCACTTTTCTGGAGAATTCTTTCAATGCCTCAAGCTTACCGAGCAACAGTACACAACTGGTTCAATGCTGCACAGATCTTTTCAACAAGTACGGCAAGTCTGTAATCATTTCCATTTAATAGTTATCATTTCACAAAGAGATCTTCCTGGGGTCTCCTGGACAACAACCCTCCAACCAACTTGTTCTTTCACCTCATACACTTAAAAGGGGCAAATTAACAGAGAGACCTGGAGGTCCACATAAGCAAATCTCTGAAGGTGGTAGGGCAGGTACATAAAGTTGTTAAAAAATCATACAGGATACTAGGTTTTATAAATAGGGACATAGAATTCAAAAGTCAGGAGGTTATGTTGAATATTTATAAAATGCTGGTTAGGCCTCAGTTGGAGTACTGTGTTCAGTTCTGGACACCACACTTTAGGAAAGATGTTAGGGCATTGGAGAGGGTGCAAAGGAGGTTTACCAGGATGGTACCAGGATTGAAGGACCTTAGTTATGAGGAGAGGTTAGCGAAATTAGGATTATTCTCCCTAGAGCAGAGAAGATTAAGAGGGGATTTAATAGAGGTTTTCAAGATCATGAGAGGATTTGATAGGTTGAACCAGGAAAAACTGTTTCCACTGGCATGTGGGTCAGTAACCCGAGGACACCATTTTAAGATAATTGTTAAAAGAAACTGAGGGGAAGTTAGGAAAAAAAATTTCACCCAGCGAGTTGTTTGGATCTGGAATGCATTACCTGAAAGGGTAGTGGAAGCCGATTCAATAACAACTTTTAAGAGAGAAGTAGGTGGGTATTTGGGGAGGATAGGATTGCAGGGCTACGGAGAAAAAGCGGGCCAGTGGGATTGAGTTGGATTGCTCTTTTAGGAGCCGGCGCAGACGCGATGGGCCGAATAGCCTCTTTCTGTGCTGTATGATTCTATGATTCTATATCTGTTTGTGGAACTTTGCTGGCAGAAATGTCTGCAAAGTTTGCCCACAACAGTAAATTGCACTTAAAGGACACCTTTCAAGAAAGACGTACTTCACAGAGATAGAGTGCAAGCCCGAGCTAGGTGGGAGATATGTATGTACGTGCATGGGTGGGTGTCCCACGCGGGCTGGTGGGGTTGGAGGTGTCCAAAATAAAAGAGCTCAGTTTTTTGGCAGGTAGAAAGTGGAGTGGGAGCTAGCAAAGTAGAGGAATTCAGGAGAGATCCAGAAAGCGGGACACAGTGTCTGAAAACTTACAAGAACAAGTCACTACAGACGAGAGCAATTTGTTGTTTGTGCTACATTGGCAGAGGTGCCGTCCTTCAAATAAGGTGTTAAACCAAGGTCTTGTCCGCCTGTTCAGGTAGATGTTAAAGATTCCATCGCATTATTTGAAAAGAGAAGAGAGTTTCTCTTGGTGTCCTGACCAACAATCCCCCAGATTAAACTGGACATTTGATTCATGGCTGTATGTGGGACATTGTTATTTACAAATTGGCTGCTGGATTTGTCTACAAAATACATAATCACTAGACTTTACCATAAATAAGTGTTTTGAGCTGCCTCAGACATGAATGGCACTATATCAGAACATTGCTGTGAGCAAATTGGCTGTTGCATTTGCCCACAAATACACACACTACACTTTACAGTAAAATCCTGTGAACACCATTGAGATGTCTCGATGAGGTGGTAAGAAACTATGTCAAATGCGAGGATTCTTATTATTATACAACACTATTGTTCTAATTTCATTCCTTGATTATTTTCATTTTAGCACCATCGTGAATACCACACACTACGTCTTTGGAGGAAACTACATTCTTACTTCTCTCATTGGGTGTTGCAAAGTGATGGATTCCTCAACATTTGTTTGCATGTAATTAGATTCCCTACTGAAGAAAAGGAAACTGTGCCACAGGAAACAGTTGTGATGAGGTTCAGTCTGTTCTCGTCATTACTGGATTGTTCGGTCTGTATCATGTACTAGTCATCACCTGTACAAAACATCTCTGACCTACTCAGTGCCTGGTATCCACTCCATACTTTGGTATTAGAAAACCTGAAACAAAACAAATCAGTCCATTTTGGTAATACAGTTTTACAATTCACAGATCTCTGCTGAAAACGCCAGTAACACACCTGTCTCCGTCAAGCACACATATCAATTGGTGCAGCATGATCTTTATGTGTGTTGACTGCTTCGCCACTTCTTCTATCATCAAAAATGTTTTGTCAATAGCTGGAAATGTCCATAAACTACAACACAAATTACATTGATAAAGCACCTTTCGTGCCAGGAAGATGTCTCAAAGTGCTTTACCCAGTGCTGGGAAGGGGGGAAGGGTGTTGACTGAAAGTGTGGTCAAAGAGGTTGCCAGGGTGGAATGGAGGGAGGGATTTGAATGTGAGGACAAGGATCTTGAATTCCATCCACTGGGGGTGGGGTGATAGCCTTGCAGAGCTTGGGGTGCGAGACGAAACGGGCTCCAGAGTTCTGAATAGTCTACAGCTTGTGTAGGGAAAAACTGGGGAATCTGGAGTCTATCTTTAAACCAAGATCAACAACAAGAACTTGCATTTATATAGTGGCCCTCACGCAGAGTCCCAGAACACTTGATCAAAAACCGTACATCCACTAAATATGTTTCACATTTATTTTTGGAAAAAAATATTTATGTAATATAACCAGAACTGAGAAGTTAGTTAGATAGACTAAAAAAAAGACTTTTGACTGAAACAGAAGCTTAAGAGGGGATCCATTAGCATCTTCAAAATTGTAAAAGATTTTTTGAAGATAAATACTGAGATTATTCCTGCTGATTGATAAATTAGTAACATGGGAGCATGAGTCAGTATTGTCACTTTGAAAGTGAAGGGAATGTTAGAGGAAACTTTCATGTAGAGATTTATTATGGAATGTTCCTATTGAGGCCGAGACCTTATCAACATCTTGAAAGGAAATTAGATAATCATTTAAAGAGGGACAATGTAAAAGGGTTATGGGAAGGGGGCAGTGAATTGGGACCAATTACTGCCTTGTTTTCCTACAAGAAACACAAGACTATACTAGACTGTAGTTACTTGTGAAGCATTTTAAAACATTTTGTCATGTTGTGTGAATTATAGCCCTCCCACAGAAACATTGCTAACCCTTGGGATATTTACCACTCACAAAACTCCACATCACTCTTGAGAGATTAACATTCCAACCAGAACAATTTGTGAACTCCTCTCCCAGGCACAATCCCTTTTATCCAACTTCCCCCTGGGGTACTGCCAACTTTCCTATTCTCCCCACCCCCTAACACACAATCTCCATGTGTGTATAGCCATGACAGCAACATCAAAGTGTTTACACTACAATTTAACATTCTTATAACGCCTTCTCCATCAAAGTGCTCAGCAACGATCTCCAATTATCTTGCGAACAGAATTTAACCATGTGCTCCAGGACGCTACCCATGTGAAGGGCACTATATAATTGCAAGTTGTTGCTGTTAACCAAACAAATGAATTAAAGGCATTTTTAAAATAAATAGTTCAGCATCACTTTTTTATTCCGGTCAGCCAGGTGTCTGACACATGCGGAAACCCTTCATCACGCTTAAATGTATCCAAATCAACCTTAGAGGTCCCTGTTGCCACCTACACATAGAAATCCCTGTGTATTGTAGCACTTTGAGATACCAACTGTATTCAGTGCCTATAAAAGAATGTCTGAAAAATGTACGTTTGGTCATCTTTCCCCTCCTACTCCCATCCCCCACCCCAGCCCTGTGCCCATATTTTGAGAGATCTGCCTGATGTGAAAGGCGTGACACATGTAAATTATATTATGTTTACCCCCAAATGCCTCCCTTCTCCCTCCCCAACCCAGTAAAAATTGCTATCTTGCAAGATGAGTGTGCATGAACCAAGTACAAAATTGACATTCAGATTAAAAGTGCCCTTTAAAATGAATTTCTAACTAAACAAAAGGCTTTGAGAAAGGTTGCATTTAAATTTTAGTGTAGGATTAAGTGCAAATTGATGGGTGGGATGAGAGTGCACAACTCTAGATCCCTGTATAATTGTCAAATGGCAACAAAAGCACTTGGAATCACATTTGTTACTTTTGAAGCATTTCTTAAACAATTGTTGTTAATGGATTGTATGTTTCTGCTAAGATACTTGTCTTAAAAAGTATAAATCAGTAGAATTCCCAATAAACACATATTACTCCAACTGGAAAGCAATTTTCATTCATTTATCTAACAGTGATTTTCTCATTCCAGAGAGGTTTCGAGAGAGTGGAGGTGACCATAGGTACAGTCAAAAAGGAAGGTATTCAGATGCAAACTGAATAAGGGAAAAGCAGAGGGATTAAGGCAGAGAGTTCCAAATTTTGAGCACATGGTGGCTGAAAGTTTGGCTGCCGATTGTGGAACAGAGGGAATAAGGAGCGTGTAGAAAGCCGGAGCTAGCTGAGAGACGGCAATGTAAGGGAATGTAAGGGAATGTAATGGTGTGTAATGGTGTGGTTCTGATGGTTCTAGCATGAGATAGGAATCGAGCATTCAATAATTTTACGCCATTACACCAACAACAACAAAATTACATTTATAGAGCGCCTTTCACATCAGGAGGATGTCCCAAAGCGTTGAACAGTCAGATGTTGGGGCCTGAGCATGGGGGAGAGGTGGTGTAAGGGTGAGGGAAGGCAGAGAGGTGGGAGGGAGACCAAAGGCACGGTCAAAGAGGAGGGTCTTGAGACCGGCCTTGAAGAAGGCAAGGGAGGAAGCGAGGCGAAGGGACCATGGGATGGAGTTCCAGAGTGTGGGGGCAGAGAGGCTGAAAGCCACCGATGGTAGGGTAGGTCGGGTGGGAGACGTGGAGCAGGCCAGAGCCTGATGAGCGGAGCCTGATGAGTTAGAAGGGAGTCACCAGGTCAGAGAGGTAGGAGGGGCAAGGTCATGGGTGGCCTTAAAGGTGAGGATGAGGATCTTGAACTCGATCCTCTGGGGGATGGGGAGCCAGTGGAGTCGGGCAAGGGTGGGAGTGATGGGGTCACGGAGCCTGGTGCGTGAGAGTACACAAGCTGCAGAGTTTAGGATAATCTGCATCTTGTGAAGAGAAGAGTTGGGAAGGCCGATGAGGAGGGAGTTCTGGGGGCAGAGAGGCTGAAAGCCACCGATGGTAGCGTAGGTCGGGCGGGAGACGTGGAGCAGGCCGGAGCCTGATGAACGGAGCCTGATGAGTTAGTAGGGAGTTCCCGTAATCGAGCCTTGAGGTGACGAATGCGTGGGTGAGGGTTTTGGCAGCCTGAGGGGTGAGGCAGTGACAGAGTCTGGCAATGTTGCAGAGGTGGTGGTAGCCAGTGACGGTCATGGTGCGGATGTGAGGGAGAAAGGACAGTTCAGGGTCAAATAAGACACCCAGGTTCCTGACTGGCTTAGTGAGGTTGAGTGTGCAGCCATGGAGGCTGATGCTGCCAGTGCCCGAGTTGCGGAGGCGCTGGCGTGAGCCAATCAGGAGGGCCTCGGTCTTGCTGACGTTGAGTTGGAGAAAGTTGGCCCTCGTTCAGGACTTGATGTTGGACAGGCAGTCGGTCATGACCTCAGTGATCTTAGAGTTCAGGGTGGAGGCAGAGAGGTAGAGTTGGGAGTCATCCCCATACATGTGGAAATTTACCCCATGTTGGCAGATGATGTTACCAAGTTACATTAATTATGGGGAAAAGACAGGTAAATGAGACTGAAAGGATTACTATGACAATCATTAATTTAAGGATCATTATCATAAATTAAGCCACCATGAGCTAGAATCAAGGTTGACACCCAAGTAAGATCGCCATCTAATGGTAACAAAGAACAACACTTAGAACAGTGAAAGTACAGCTGAGCAACAGCCTCACCTGGCACATCAATGTATGATTTCCAGCTTGGAAAGCGCGGTGCCTGATGGAGCACAGTGAATCAAGAGCAACAAACATCAATACAACAGAGTAGAATAGAAGAATAGAGCAATTAGGGAGTCTACACTTGGGGAAATAGCAGATTAAACCAGCCACTTTATAATTTCTATGCACATCCTCAGGCAGATAGTTGTAACAGGATATAGCTTGGTATTACTGCAAGACAAAAAAAATCTGCTTTATTGAATATGGACAGTATTTTACATTCACAGAAATAGTATTAACAATGAGTAGCAAATTCTCTGCTGTGCAATACATATTAAAGCAATCTGGGCAAAATGATGGTTAATAATAATAATAATCCTTGCATTTGATATAGCGCTCTTCGCGTCTTCTAGACATCTCAAAGCGCTTCACAGAATAGACTGTAAAGTGAATTGACTGTATATTTGTGGGCGAAATGCAGCAGCCAATTACGCACAGCAGTGTACCATAACAGTCGACAGGACAGGAAGCTCGCTTTGCAGGCGAGAGACCTGAGTTCAATTCCAGGACGAAACCTTGGCCAAGTTTCCTTACCCCACATGCCTAATAATAATACCTCCAAAAAACAAAACAATAATAAATTAGTCATTTTCAATCCACGACTGTTTGTGGGACTGCTGTGGGCCATTGGCTGCTGTGTTTTGCCCACAAATATACATACGGTGAATATAAAATATTCACTTTACAGCATATTCTGTGAAGCACTTTGAGACATCTAGAAGACGTGAAAAGCGCTATATCAAATGCAAGGATTATTATTAATATTACTTGCCCAAGGTTTCACCCTGCCGGGAATTGAATCGGGGTCTCTCGCTTGCGAGTGCTCTAACCATTGAGCTACAGGACTCCACTTTAACATAGTACAAAGAATGGCATTCCAGTAAATGAGAGTATTTGGGGGAGAGAGATGCTAGTGAAGTCTTGCACAGTTTAGGCTGACACTCCAATACAGCCTCAGGAAACACTTGTTGGAGGTATTGTCATTTGGATGAGACAATATACCGAGAGTTTGTTTGCCTGCTTGGATAGATATTAAAAATCCCTTGGCATTATTTATTAAAAAAAGGAGGACCTCCTGGTGTCCTGGCTAACAATCCTCCAGATAAAATTGGTTCTGTCCTCCTTGTGGGGGGGGGGGAGGTAAGCAGGGTCTCCTTGGAGCTGCACTGGCTCCAAGGTGACTTGCCTAGCAATGGAATGTCAGAATCAAGACAGCCCCCTGTTGCGGTCTCGGTAGTTTGGTTCCTGAGCCAGGCAGTCTGCAGTATTCCAGGGCAATGCTGATAACAGCACAGCCAGCCTGGCTCATCGGCAGGACCTGGTGGCAGGGAGTCATCCCACTTAGCTCCTGTTAACCCTGCAAGCCAAAGCCACGGGTAGGGTGGTTCTAGCTGGACAAGCAGTGAGAAAGCTTGCCAGACACTAATATCAATGGCAAGCTATGTGGTTTTAGCTGGTTAGACTCCAGTAGTACCCCAACACACATTCTGGGGTCCCCAAGCCTTGGCTCTTGCCAACCTATGCTTAATACTTTCCAGAATTAGGTAAGCAGGATACGTCCCTCCAGGGAGAGAGTGAGCATTCCATTCCAACAATCTATCTCTGGGATTTCCATGTGTGGGTGGGATGCATAGAAATCTCAGTTTTGTTGGATACGCTTAAGCAGGGCGATGGCACCCGGCTGACCGAAAAAACATGTTTCCCCCACCGAAAAGAAATGGTTATTCACAGTTGTTTATAGCACATTGCTGTGTGCAAATTTGTTGCAATGTTCACCAACAAAATGTACAGTTTCTTCACTGTACAGTAAATCCTGTGAAATGCTCTGAGACGTTTTGACAACATAATAAACCACTATATCAAATGCAAGGCTTTTTATTTATAAAATAGCCATTCATCCTAATGTTCCTTGCAGAATTTTGTTGTAAAGGATTCAGTGTGGCATGTGCCTGTGCACATTCACGGAATAAACACACAACTGTATCATTACTAGTAATGGTTATTTATACTGCATTCTTTCCTTGTTTTTTCTATCATTGAGCAGCACTGCTTCCAGTCTGCAGTGCATCTATTCTTCCACTGAGTGGTGCTGCCTTACTAAGTTGGTATTCTGTCCATAAAAAATAAGAAGAGAAAACGTTTCATTTCCTTTTTTTGGTCAGCCGGGTGTCTGACACATCACTATGGTTAAGAGAAAGCAAGTCCAAGGAGTTTCATACATGCCACAGCCATATGGAAATTCCCATGTCTGGAATGGAACGCTCAGCTCCATTGGCTTCCCAGCTCCCAGTGGATCCTGCTCAAGATCCTTGTTCTCACCTTTAAATTGTTCTCATCTTTGGCTCCTCAGTCTGCAAGTCACCATCCATGGCCGTGCTTTCAGCGACTATGCGTTGAAACTCTGGAACTCCCTAACTCAATCTCTCCGCCTTGCCACATCTTTCCCTGTCTTCAGATCGCACCTGAAGACCTTCCTCTTTGACTGTGCTTACAGTCAGCTCCCCTTTCTCCCTAGCTCAGCATCAAAATTCGCCATTGTTCATAGTTAAACAATCCAAGACCCTGCCCTACATGAAGAGCGTAATGAAAAAGCAAGTTGTGGTTGTAGTCCCCAGACCTATTTGTCTGTGACATCTCTGTTAATCTCTGTGCTCGATTATCACCTCTCAAAGCCAGTCAGGAACCTCGGCGTTCTGTTCGACCCTGAGCTGTCCTTTCTTCCTCATATCCGCGCCACAACTGGCACCGCCTTCCATCACCTCCGAAAGATCGCCAGACTACGGCACTACCTCACCCCTCATCTGCTGAAACACTGGTCCACGCCTTTATCACCTCAAGGCTGGACTATGGGAACTCTCTCCTCGCCGGCCTTCCCGCCACCTCCCTCCACAAGCTGCAGGTCATTCAGAACTCTGCAGCTCGTGTACTGTCCCGCACCAGGCTTCGCGACCACATCACTCCCACCCTCGCTCGCCTCCACTGGCTCCCCATCCCCCAGAGGATCGAATTCAAGATCCTCATCCTCACCCACAAGGCCATTCACGGCCTTGCTCCCTCCTACCTCTCCAACCTACTATCCCCCTACCTACCTGCTCGTACCCTCTATTCCTCTGGCTCCAGTCTGCTCCACATCCCCCACCCCAACTGCCCTACCATCGGTGGCCGGGCCTTCAGCCTCTCAGCCCCCAGGCTCTGGAACTCCATCCCCCAGTGCCTTCGCCGCCTCCTCCCTTTCCTCCTTCAAGGCCAGTCTCAAGGCCTTTCTCTTTGACCGTGCCTTCAGCTC